AATGAACTGTGTCAACATTTGGAAGATCTGGATATCTCAGGGGACTAATACTTTCCAAGTGACCAATGCAGGTCATAATATCTTGCACAGGTAGAGCATCAAATCAAAGTAACAGACAGACCAATGATTTTATTGTAAGGTAACAGGAAATGTTCATTGAAGAATTTCAAATTTCACATCGCATCTAAGCTTTAGGAAACTACCACTTATCAAATTGTGGTGTGGTATCAACGAAGAACATTTGCAATTTTTTGAAAAGGCTGTTAAAATACTAGTCCTTTTTCCAACTACTTATCTGTGTGTAGCCAGATTTTCTTTGTATCCTTAAACCAAAATAACATATCACCACAGATAAAAAGCACACTCAGAAATGATAGTCCAACTGTTTTCTATTACACCAGACACTGAGTTGCAAAAATGTAAGACAAGGCTACTCTTTTCATAAACATTTCTTCTTGGTCTGGAAAGCAGCTATTTTTCACAAGACTGTTTCTTAGGTTAACATGTAAAGAGTTTATTATTATCATTTTAAACAAATTAAAATATTTTTGAAAATTTTTGAAAACTGCTGCTTCTAAGAAAGCTTAATATAAGGCTGTAGGAGAAAGAGACTTTTTTTTAGAAGTAGTGCCTCTGTGAAAATGTTCCAGATTAAAGAGGCTAAAGGGACAACTAAATGTAATAACACTGGACCCTGTGTTGAAAATGTTATAAAAAAATACAGCTGGCCTCCACCTCCCCTCAGCCTGCCTCTGCCAAATGCAAGTGCCAGTTGGATATGGTCACTGAACGGACTCTCTTGCTGTCGAGAAATGCTCATTCCTTCCAAATGGAACATCTTTGTGGATCTCCACAAATCTTATTCATTTGGGTAATAAGAAAAGCACTTGGAGTAATTTTTTTTAAAAGAAAATTATTGGGTAAATTGAAAACATTGGAATACAAATGGCAGAAAATTGATAAATATACTGTGGTTATATGTGACAACATTCCTATTCTTGGAAATACACACTGAATATTTAGGGGTTAAAGGGTATGATGTAAACTATCCTCAAATGGGGAGCCTATGTGCATGTATTATGCTTGTATTGCTCTGACCACCTAAAGAACTAAGATTTTGTACACAGGAATTTGAAAGTCCACAGATTTTCACTTTTCAACTCAACAAATACTTGAATATGGTATGTGAAAAGCAACTAAGTTAAAATTACATTACAGTTACATAAGTTATCCCAAGCAAAGTGCCTGTTGTGGTATCATTAGGAACAGCAGTCACTCACCCCTTCTCCCTTGTAGTCTCTGCTAGAGAACTTGGAGTGCTAAGCACCCTGCCTCCCTTGCAGCTAAGGGTGGCCATGTCATCCACTTGTAGCCAATGAAATGTGAGAATATTTGCAAGGACTTCTGGGAATATTTCTGCTTTTCTGATTAAAAGGACAAAGCGAGAGGGGAGAAGTCTTGTGCCTACCCCACCTCTCAACTCCTGCTTGCATTTAATGGGGATACCAGTAGTTGGACAAAACAAGCTATAAGACACAGGGCTAAAGGTAGCCAAATAAATAAAGAAGGCGGCCTAGTTCTTTGCTGTCATCCTTGAGCACCAACTCGAGCAAATGCTTACCCTGTACTTTTTATTACATAAGAAAAACATACTACGTGTTAGGCCACTGAGAGTTAGGTGTCTGTTACTTATAGCTGCATGCCCTGCTGATGTCTGCTTACTCAGGGAAAAAAATGGGGAAAAAACAAAAGAATAAATACAAAATGCTACAAGCTATGCACCACTGGGCGGAGAAAGCAATTCCATAACAAAATGGTCATTTAAAACCCAGACCCCATGGCATTTTTAACAAAACCAAAGATGTAACAATTTTCATTAACAAAAGTGAAAATAAAGAACTCTTGCAACAGTAAGCATTCTACAGTGATTTAAGATCTGAAAAGGTCAAGCCATCCTCGAATCAGAAGGACTTAAATGGAAACATCATCTCTGGTGCTCTGCCAAGAACATATATTATTGCCAAATTCCTAATTCAAAATCATATATAAGTATGCTTTCACTAAAATGCCAAAGTTAAAAATAAAACATTCAAATAGTCATCTCCCTTCTCTCTCTGAGATAAATGTGCCTGTGGACCCCAGAGGCTAATGAGAAGATTTCTTTCTCTCCCATTCTACTTGACCAAATTTTTCCCCCAAGCCATTCATGAGAAAATAATTTAGGAAGCTGGCACCTGATCAGCTACTTCACTGAATTAAAGCGCGATAGGGTTCGTGACTTTTCAATGGAAATATCAAACATGTGTATTGAACACCTCTGCGTAGGGTATTCAATATGCCCGCCGTAGCACATGGGTGGGAGGGGAGGGAGCTGGGGACAAAGAGACATACACACTTTTGTGGAGTTAATCGTCTAGTGAGAGCAAGAGATCAGTGTGAAAAGTTAAATGAAATGTTTCAATAACAGTTCTAGGCAGCAGAAGAGATGCCATAAAATAGTGCACGATTCATTGCCAAAAGGATCATGGCTGACAATAACTGCTGCAGAATTTCAGAGAACATCACTGCGAGCTGAGCAAGGCCTGGAGGCTTGTAGAGAAGGCAGGGCCTGGCACAGTCAGGAAGGGTGTACAAAAGCTTGTGGGGGTGCAGGGAAAGCCCAGTGAGAGACTTTTAGAGGCTGACTTTGTTTTTATTTAAGGAGAGAAATCCTCCTGGATGCCCGTGTGACTGGTGGAGGGCGGGCGGCCATCAGGGACGCAGGGGGATGGGGTCAGGTTGTAGCTGAGCATTGGACATTCAGATGGAAGTGGCAGCCTGGAGGCAGGAATGGAATATTAGCAGGTGGCATAAGGAACCTCATCCCCTAGGCCTTGGGAATACTGAACTCAGTTTAACTTAACGAAAGACCTTTAAAAAAATCTGATCTTTGACATGGCATCAACGTCCAAACCTGCAGGCTTTCACTTTTGAATGTCTTCCTCTTCCCACAGGCCTTACTCAGATGGCTGTGGATGATGAGAGTAGACACCACCATCACAGGGAAAACAGAGTGCAGGCACAGACACCTGGGAAGTGTCCAGGCACATGGAGAGTGTCCAGGCACATGAAGAGAGTCCAGGCGCATGGAGCGTTCAGTGGAAAGGTTGGCAAAGCTGGGCTGCTTCTTATAATCACAATTGTACTGTCGGGCACCTACATCTCTGAAGCACTAGGAGTCCACTTGAGGCACGGCAGTCTCGGTGGCTGCAGACTCATGCTCTCAGGTGACATGGCTTTACACCCTCCCAACAGTTCTGAAAGGAAGAGCCAGCTCTTGGTTTTTCAGAATTCTCAGGACCCCTGCCTCTGGTCTCAATGTGGTGACGCCTCCACCTCTAAATGTAATTGGGATTCCCAGTAGATAGGGCCCAGGGTTATTTTGCTGGCACCTCTGCAGAAGGGCATCTGGAACTGCAGACCCGGCGGGTCCCTGACAGCAGCCCAGTCTGCAGGACACCAGTCCTCCCACCCAGCTCTCCGAAAACCTGGTTGATGTGACTTGCTGAAACTATCACTTCTCAGTGCTTTCCAGTTGTTACTTTAAAAAACAAAAACAAATGAACTATCTGCATTAACACGTCTCACTGTCAGCAATAAGGGCACCACCTCCCGTGTATTCTGGGGCTCTTATGCAATATCCTCTTCTCAAACTGAAGAATGTTAATCCTCAGGTAAATACAAACATGGAAGGGTCAGGGATGACGCCGGCACACGCTGGCCAGACGAGCCTCCACGCACGTTCCATTCTTCCCAACTTTTCTTTTTACTTACGTTGCTTCATTTTTAATTTAGGCAAAGACAGCTAATGCCGCTGATCACTTTCTGGCTGGGTCTTGGTGGGCTTCAGAAATCTTTAAGGACAGACTCAGTAAAAAAACCAAACAGGAGAAAAGCCTAACATGCATCAGGGGGATGGTGTTCCTGCCATTTCACTCACAAGCGTCGCCTCAGTGTGGTTCTCCTACCAACAATTTGGTGAAAGACGGTCTCCTCATCATTTATTAGCCATGACAGCCAGCTGCTGCTCTCAGATACCGTCTCTCTCTGCCACAATTATCTAGCAATGCCTTCAAGGCAAAAGGCTCCTTCTGGAATGTTCTTCCCAAAGGCAACAGTTCAAAGCAAACCTCTATTAACTGAAGACTGACATCTGCAGAATTCTCTGGACTGGCTGACTCTGCTCCTCCTGTGGTGACCTCACAAACGGAGACATGATTACTTGCACTCAGTCCCCGGGAAGTCAAGTACAGGGCGCTGGCTCTTCACTGAGCCCTTAGAGCCCTGAAATCAGGGGCCTCACCACACGCGGCACCCCAGCCAGGCTGGCCAGTTCCTTCTTGGCAAGGTTGTTCCCACCAAGAAAAGGGAATCAAACTACTCTTATTTCACTAAGACTCAGTAACTAAGTGGGACAAGATCTGAGTATTGAAACCGAATAAATTAGATGCACTGTAGTTGAGGAAGCCCAGACAGAGCTAAGAAAGTGACACAGGAGGGGCCTCCCTAGTGGCGCAAGGGGTTGAATCTCAACACTATGAAGCAATCTGCAGCCTCTACAGCACGAGTTCGATGCCCCGCTGGCCAGGGAGCTACCCACATGGCACAGCAAACCTCTCCTGTCTCACCCACTGCTCCCCTCAGCAGTGTTCTTGGTCTGTCTGCCTGTTCTGCTCCCCACTCTGTCTCTGGTGAATCCTCTCACCCCCCACACCTCTGGCCTGCACCCCAGCTCTTGTATGCATAATAAATCTTAAAAAAGAAAAAGTGCCACAGGAGAGGAGAGAGGGCAGGAAGAGGGTCTTGCTAGACTTCTGAGTCGGCTTGGGAGGCAGGCCCTGCCCACCGCCTGGGGCCAGCAGGCAGCACCAGCACCCTCAGCTGCTCCAGGGCACCAAAGTGACAAGTTACATGCTATTTCCCAGCTAATGCAGCTGTTACGGAAACGGAGCACATAGCAGATTATAACAAATACTTGATAATGTTTTATGAAGATTTTAATAACATTTTTAGTAACATTTAATAACAAAGGCACTGAGTATTACTGTTTCATGAAAAGATGTGATTCTAGCCAGCAGGCACAGCCAGAGGAACCCAGGCCAATGGTCAGGATGGTGAGACGGGGTTGATCAAGGCCTCAGCCGGGAGAACAGGGGGTCCCACCAGCCATGGATCTGGAATAAACTACCTCTGCGGTGGTTCATTTTCTCGTATTTCACTTACAGGACCGGAACAAATTTAGCATCTCCACACAGCGAAAGAAGGGGGTGCCTGCCTCACCCTCCCCACCACGGGACACCCCCCCCCCACTGCCACCACTGCAGGACATGGGTCCTGGTGGCAACAAAGTGGAACAGACATCTCCCCAGGAACCACTCACTGTGCAGATAAACTCAGAGCTCTGTGGCACCCACAGACCAAAATAAGCAGTAATAACAGGGGGCCGCATTCCTGAGGGGCCCTGCCCACAGACTGCACAGCAGGAGCAGAGAAAGCACCCCGGCTGCGTTAAGCTCAACACCTGTCAGAACAGCTGTGCCACCCTACTTTTCTGGGTGGGTGGCTGGGTAGGGGTTTCCATCAACTCTTTAAAGCAAATACTTTCAAATCCTGTAGTCACGCCAGGGCTGGTTTTTCCCAAGGGTGCTGCGTGACATGCATCATTTGGACCAGATGCTCCAACTCGTGTGCCTGCTCCTCCCGCCAGGAACACAGGCATTATTTATTTGTCCCTCCAGCATGCGAGCAGGGCAGGGTGGCCACGGAAGCGCAGCCGAGGACAGAGACCGGGTTCCCTTTTCTGCAGAGCCGCCAGCACCTTGGCAAGACCAGGGACACCAGACGGGGCCCCGCATGCCAGCCCTGAGTGACTGGCCGTGTATAGGCGCCTTTACTTTAAACCCTAAATCAATAGCTTAAACAGATGCAGATTCCATGTGACAGGAGAGACAGGAAGATTTGAGGCTTTCTGCTCTTTAGATGTCTCCTTTGGCTGTACGGCTATTAAAAAGTTATGTGTAACTTCAAGATGAAAGGCACAAGTAGCTTCTTAGAAGAGAGATCATCCCAATCTTATGGAGATGTAATGAGATGTAAGTCACTGAAGCTTCTGATTCGGTCTGCTATTAATGGAATCAAAGTCGATGACAATCTTGCTGCACTTTGGTGTGAATTTCCTAAATGTAAGAAAACAAAATAGATAAAGATATTATCCAGTGAGTAGTTGAAGCAATTTGTTTACTTTGGCTTAACCTACATTTTCTGTGGGAGGAAAAAATTTCCCAGGATTCACTTGATATTTTATCTCTGTAGAAGCCAATTACAGAGCATCACACCGAGAGAAGTGAGGGGCAGAGAAGGCTGAGACAAAATAGGTGCATGGGTGGGGGGTAGCTTGGTTTGAATGGTCTTCAACGAGCTGAGTTCATGAATTATTGGGGAGTCAAAGGATTTCTGACAAGTTAGCTGCATAACACAACATCCAATCACTAGTTTTCCTACTGGATATACCTTATTTTCTAGGAAATTTCTGCTGCCAAGTGGAAATCACTCTATAGCAAAGCAAAAGGTTTTCTTTTGCCTCTGAGACATAGCAAAAATCGACTAGCATTAGTAAGGAGTCATTTTGAAAATGATGTTCTGAAAATGCAAAGGTAAAATAAATTCACAATTTTTTGCTTACTGATATACCTGCTAAAACAGCTACAGAGAAAATAGTTGGGAACTAAACTTTGTCTCAAAAATCAGAAACAATTTACATGTAAAGCCTCGTGTGAGACATATAACCTGTATCCGTGATGATGACAAGGGGTGAGGTGTGTTACCTATGATAAGAACCTCACCTCTGACCACACACCCTGTAAAGACACTGTTCTGAAGAAAAGAAATCAAAATTTAATATTTTACAATGCAAATAAAAAAAACTGCTTTGAAAGCTTTCAAAGTCTCAAAAGAAGTTTCCACCAGGAATCAAGGCAGTTGAATACTAACTTGCAAGTAAAACATGCCTCCCAATTTTTGCCAAGCAAATCTAATCATACAAATCTAAATGACTTCAAATCTCAAATATAAAAGGTGGTTGTAAGAATTCCTGGTGTTTCAAAGTATCCTGGCAGGGTACTTTCATCCTAAATTTTCTATGCCAGACTTGTTACCTTTGCAAAATTTACAAAGGCTCACCGTTAGTATCATAAAACTGGTGGATTCAAAAACTTCTTGCTTCTAGAATCATGAGTCCAAGCCCCTGGAAAGCTACTGATTGAGATCAGAACAATCATTACCCAGATTGTCGACAGAGACTTCCCTCCACCCCTAAAATAATCTCTGGCATCTTAGCCCATCGCACTTAAAAAGACACTTCCAGGCATGGAAGCCAAGTACCACAGCAGAAATCAAATGCCAGACAAGGTCAAGTATTTCCTCCTCCTCCCTTCATATCACGGTGCCCCCAACTTCCTCCAACTTACCTGAAGGTGACCCCGGCCATATCAAACAAGAGCCTCGCAGCTGTTGTCTCGTCGCTATCATGGTATTTATCAGACATGAAAATAACTTCTTTTATACCTAAAATGCAACCACGGAAGCCTCGTTAGGGTGTGTACACACGGACATTGGACAGGACACGTGGGAGCAGCAGAGCCTGGTGGTGTCTGTCATTAATTATCTTGCACACAATGTCCAGTTGCTGCAATATACATCTGCTGCTTTCTGATGCGGCAGAGGACGGATTATATTTAATCCGCCCTCCGGTCTTTATGGATTTTTTTTTTAACAAATGCAAAGTGAAAACATGTCAAGTAGTCATGCCTTGATCCGATTAACAAATTTTCTTTACTGCGGGCAATCAAATATTCTTTATTCACAGGCAACTACTCTTCACTCAAGAGGACAACATGGGGGGGTGGGGGTGGAGGATGAAAAGTACTGGCAAGATCAGCAATAAGTGCTCCGTGCTCCCAAGAACGGCCCTGCAGACCAGCTCCAGCCTGCTCCAGGGAGAGCAGGTGTGGTTTCTCTTCTGGTCTCACCAGGCAGCAGTGCTAACCTGAGAGCCAGGAATTTGGGGGTGCCTGATACAGCTCCCTGCTTGCCCAGGTCCCCTTTGAAGGGCTCACAGAAAGCTGGCCCCCCAAAGCACATTCTGGGCCTGCCAGTGCTGACCGCTGGCAAAGGAGCCCGCAGCCACACCACGAGAAGCTGCTCAGACACCACCGGCCCGTGATAAACAGCCCGGGAAACCACAGATCTGGCGGAACATGATAAGTCTTTAAATCTCAAGCCGAGAGCATTATGGAGATAAAGTGTAGCCGAATCTGAGATATGACAGTTTGAAAAAGGTGAGATATTCAGAATACAATGGTGCAGATTTATGGCAACCATAAAGTGAGAGAAACTTAAAGACGCAAAGATGTTTCGGCCCTCAGCTATCTACCATATATTAGACACGAATTAAAATTTCATAGATAGACTCCCAGCTGACCTTGTTTCTGACAGAAGTTCATTTCTCTCCCTCCCCGCTAATCTATGCACACTGTGTCAGGGAATCGTAAATTGACAGTAATTATATGCAATGCCTGTGTTGTTTTTTGGCAGCTTGTAGTTTAAGAAGTTGCAAAGTAAATTAAAAACATGCTAAGAATCACAGAGGATGCAATTAGTCCTAGGCTACCTGGCACCGTTCAAAAACAAAACACGGGAAATACCTTGCAAAGTTGATAGTGCAATTAATTTAGATCTAAACAATAGCAATTTAAGATCAAACACATCGGCAAGGCGCTACTGATGAGCAGGCAGCAATGCAAATGTGACAAATGGACGCAGCCTGGTTCCTACCTGCCTGGATGATGAGCTTAGCACATTCATTACACGGGAACAAGGCGACATACATAGTACAGCCTTTCACGTCAGCCGAGTTCTTGTTCATGATGGCGTTCAGCTCGGCGTGGCACACTGCAGGGTGGAGACAGAAAAAAGAGGAGCTTAGATAGCAGCTCATTAAGTTTGCTAACCGTGCCGGTGCATGCCACCCCCCACAAGACTGCACCCCAAAACAACCTATCAATTTTTTTTCAAAGCTGATTAGAAACGGAAAGTAGAGAGAATACCAAATGAGGACCATGTGGCCTGACAGGTTGACAATTGGCTGCCAAAGTGATCAGTGTGGCCGCCCTAGTCTGTGAGCACCTGGAGCAGCCAGGAGGGGCCTAGGCCAAGCACCACTCACCCCCTTGGAGCCACGGCTCACCGCGCCACAGGACCCTGGGGTCTGGAATGGCCCCCATAAAATGGCTCATTGGAGTGTGGATATGCACACTCAGGGACATTCGCTGCAGCCGTTTAGAGGCCAGGGAGCAATGTAAAGAGCAAGAACAGCAAGGAGGGAAGCTGAGCGTCTCCATTCCCAGGGATCTGCTTCACCTCCTCCTTCCCGGCCCACAGTCACACAAGAAAAACACCAGCGGGTCCGTTTGTCTTTTAGAAGAAAAACATGAACCCACTGGGAGGTAAGGAAAAGTCAGGCTGCGGGGCGTTGGCCCGTTCCACCAACGACCCACAAACAGGGATCTCAGGTCATCCCCAGACTTGCCTGAATTCAAGGTTAAAGGGGGCATCTTCCTCTTCCATCTTCCCTAAACAATCGGGGGGTGTCCCACCACCCAACCCACAGGAGCACCTCTTCTCTGAGGCCAGGAGCCTCACTCTCCAATTTAGTTTTGAATCCCCACCTGCATTGTGGGGGTGCTGCACTACCATCTTACGGTGTTACCTACTTTTCTGCGTGTGTCCTCTAAAGTTGTATTATACGCCTCTCATGCCAGGGCTTGGCAAACTTGTCTGTCCACTGAAATCCCCCAGGGAGCTTCCAAAACACCCAGGTCTGTGTCCCACACCTGGAGACTTGATGGGCTGGGGTGGCCCGGGCTCTGGACTCTCAGAGATTCCTCAGGTGAGTCTATGTGGCAGAAGTGTTCAGGAAACACTGCCTACAGCAGCGTCTGGCATCCCCTGGGGACTTAAAATGCTCAGTGCACACCTGTGCTAAAATACATTTGTTGAATGAATTAATGAGTGACTTAGGCCATGGTTCAAATCAAGCAAAACTCCTAGAATTATAAATATAGTGCCCTTCAGGGGCTTCCCCCATCTCTCCAGCCCACCAGCTTTGTACACTAAGCACCTCCCTTCAGGAAGGTTGAGGCCTTGAGCGGACAGCGGGCCACACACTGAAGTCCGACATTCACTGAGACCCTCCTCTGGCTCAGATAGGAAAAAGCCACTGGCCACCCTTCTGCCCGTTTGGGGGTGGACTAGCGATTGTCTCTGCCTGGGGTGCCTGGAGCAGCTCTGCAACGTTGCAGGCACAAAGCTGGCCTGGGGGGCCCCCGGGAAAGGGTTGCGATGTAAGGATCTGGCTTTTTAGGAGGTCTTAGTTGTGGGTGGAAATGAACAGGCTCTGACGCTGAAGAACAGCTAAAGAAAAAAGAGCTGAAGCTTAATGAGATCAAAGTCCACTGGAGAATAATCCCCGAGGGCCTGAGATATGCTTGTCTACCAGACCCCGAGGTGGGAGGGCAAAGAAAAGAGAAGGGACTTGCTTGGTGGCCAGGAGGGCCTCGGCCCCATTCCCTTCCTGGGTGACCAAGATGTTCCCAAGCTGGGATTAACGCTGCTCAGTGTTGAAAACAATTAGATGTAATTGTTTCTTTTATTTCCCCCAGAGGGCCCAGACTAGTCTTCTACGTTCTTTGTAACTCCCCCAGAGTCTAATGGGATGCCATGAACATAATGGGTGTTAAATATTTATTGGCTGAATAAAGGAGGTGATACAGATTCCAATTATTGATGGTGACGGTGGGAAATACAGAAAGTCCTCTTAAATTCAACTTTCGAAAATACGCCTTCCCATCTAATGAATACTTTTTGATGGTGTTGGTATTAATATTCAGAATCCCAGTTTCTGACTGTTAGGAAACACCATTAAATTGTCCTCTTTTGAATTTCTAAACATTGTCCCATTCACAGCAATGAGCTTCCTCTAATTCATCCCAGGCAGTTTGGGGCAAACTTGAACATTATAGGCCTGAAGCCATTCATGAGAATTACCATATGAAACAGACTCTTGGGTAGCACCTGACACACCTGCCAGTATGAAGGGGTGGTTTGTAGAAATAATACACAGAGGCCTCCCTGGTGGTGCAGGCTTTAAGTCTCAGGGCTATCATGCTATGACTGCTGTGAGTTCGATGCCCGGCCAGGAGCTGACCCACATGGCGCAGCAGACCTCTCCTGTCTCCCCTCTGCTCCCCTCAGCAGTGTGTTTCAGTGGAGCTGCCTGTTCTGCTCCCCACTGTCTCTGGTGAATTCTCTCATCCCTGCAGTTCTGGCCTACACCCCAGTTCTTGCATGCATGCATAAATAAATAAATGTAAAAAAGAAACAATACAGATTATACAGACTTCCTTTCTCTGAACTGCAAATTCACAAGAGGAAAAGTATGCAGTCCCTTATGTTAGAAAAAGAGTAGGCTCTTCTGGAGTGTCAGCGGTGGAGTGTCGGGCATACAAGGCAACAGGCCTCAATCCTCAAGCCTCCATATTCAACACCAGACAGGCACAAGACTCCAGGGTCCTGGCCACCGTGGTTTCTCTCGCTTATCCTGGCACAAGGGGTAACTTTAGACGTGTATGTCCCATGTCAGACACGTGTGACACATGCCTGCTCCAGCCTTCCCCGGAGGCCCCGCTCCCCCTGTGATCCACATGGGCTTCCCCAAGCTGCACCTAAAGGGTTGGGGAAACCCCACCCCAGGCAAGAGCCAGGGCCCTGGCTGAATTTCCTCGGAGGGCTGCGCAGAGCTGCTGGTGACCCATCTGGTGATCTGGCTTCCTCAGAGGCAACGAGGCAAAAGCTGTTTTTCTTTTCTTTCTTTAGTTGGAAATACATTTTCTCAGAGTCAGTGTTATTCCTGCAAACTGAATGAGCACTTACACTTTGTTGAAAGTCACACAGCCACAGTGCCAAGCTGGGCCTCAAACTCGCTGACTCTGGCTGCCAGGCCCCTTCTAGGTAAGAAGCCCGGGGGAGGGGGTGGGGGTGGGTGGTCAGGGGGGCTGGGCCTGGGATATGCGCCTCCCAGGCCCCAGGGCCCTCAGCCTGACCCCTCTCCACGCTGGAACCATGTTCTGAAGTCTGCCCTCACCTTTCTCCCCTGGCACTGGCTACTTCTGAAGCTCTGACCCTTGCCTATTCTCTTCCACAACACTCCTGCAGTCCAGGGCAGGCCTCAAACCCACAGACTGTCCTCGGAGAGGAAACTGGGCATAGACACTTCATGGCCGTCCATTTGGTTGGGTTAACATTGGCAGAGAGAGTGGAACCGGGGGGCCCCCTCTCCTGGACTCGTTAGTGGAGCAGGGTCAAACGGGCACTGCCAAACCCGCCTCAGGCCACCAGTCCACGAGCCTGTGAGGCCCACGCTGCTGGGCGCTGGCACCCCGATCGTCCATGGCGCACCCCCTGTCCCTGGGGTTCTCCCCCACCAGCAGGCAAGTATGTAAAAGGGGGTTGGCAGCAAGAGTCAGCTCTGGGTCAAGGCCCGCTTGGCACTTCTTGCTGTGTGACTTTCACAAGCATAAGGAATACCACTGGCCCTGAGAAAGAACATTCCCAACTAAGAAAGAAAAACAGCTTTTGCTTCACTGCCTCCGTGAAAGCCAGATGGGTCAGCAGCCGCTCTGCTGGAGCCCACTGAGGAAATTCAGCCAGGGCTCTTGCTCTTGCCTCGTCTGCTCAGGAAATACGGCCTCCGTGCGCTGCCATGTTGCCGTCAGTTCTCGAAGGATGCAGGCTTCCTTAAGGGGGGCTAAGGGAACTTCCCTGAATTGGCCCTTCAGGGCTTCTACGTTACAGCAGGAACCACGCCGGCTCTTTGTACACAAAATAAAAAAAAAAAAAATTAGGTACAGAAAATATAAGCGCATGTGAAACACAAAAATACACAGAAAATATAAAAAAGCAATCTTAAAAATGAGTCTTTCTTATTTTTAGCTCTTTCCTAGTGTGTCCAGTCTCCTCTGTCCTCTAGAACAGATGATGTTCTCGAAGAAGCTTATTGACAAAACCTGTCTTCTCTCCCGTCACCAAAGGCAAGGCCGTGTCTCTCGGCCAGTTCTCACACTGGCCGCCTCCGAGGGCGCTGGTTTCTCTGCTCCATTTTCCTTCTGCTTCACTGCATGAATACCTAGTTCCACGCTGAGGAGGCCATCTTTGCAGCATTTTATGTCTCTTTTCTTCTTCCTTTCAAGTGAAATTATCCTTCCCATACCGGCTATTTTTTAAATAATCATCTCGACTTTGTGATGCACACAGAGCCTCCTGTTCTCTAAAACGCTCTAGGTCATGGGACGGGCTTGCTGCGTTCTAAGTGACATTTCCTCCCCTTTTTATAAAATGGATGAAAAGAGAAGGGAAGGCATCAGAACGCCTTCCACACAGGTTAAGAAGTTCCTTAAATTGTTTCAGGCGTGTCTGTGTTCCAGGCGGGGAACTACGTTTCCAGGGTCACGTGGGAAAAGTCTGAGAAACACATCTGTGCACGCCTGGTGGCCTCGGTAACACGCCAGCAGAGGTTTACCACCAAATACTTAAAAAATAAGAGGCAGGCCTTGGTTCACAGCATCTGCTGATTTCTGTGGTGTAAATACTCCCACGGGTCAATTTCAAGCTCCTGACATGACAGGAAGAGGCGGCACCATCTGCTCTGGTGAGGTGGCAGGAGTCGGCTCCATGGAGAGCCTCACTCCACGCAACCCCAGGCACCCCCTCGGGCTGCAGTCTCTGGGTGTGCCTGCGCTTCTGGTGCTTGGCTGAGGGCTACTCCCCACTCGGAAAGCCCTCAGCCTCACCCAAACGTTTCTTTCTCTCTCTTCTTGGGCATTCCCCCAAAGTTC